CCCTTCCACATTTCTATTTCAACGAGCTAATGAATTACCCGAAAGTGAACCATGGCGGATCGAAGACCAAGACCTACGGAAACGAGCGAAGTATCTAACAACGTGCAAAAATAGCTTGTGGAAGAGATGGCGACGCGAGTACATGACAGCGCTGAGAGAACGTCACAGCCTCGTCCATAAGACTCAGAAATATAAAGTTAAAGAAGGGGACGCAGTGATCGTGAAGACAGACGATAAGAATCGAGGGAAATGGCCACTAGCTATAGTGGAGAAGTTATTCCCAGGACCAGATGGTCGGACGCGAGCTGTTCAGCTCAGGACGAAAAATGGCGAGATAGAAAGACCCGTTCAGCATCTCTATCCCCTAGAACTCCAGTGCGACACAAAAGGGAACGCGAACGAAGGCAGAGTCCAACTGAACCCCGGAGCCCGAGCGTTCGTACCGAAAAGAGCTGCCGCAGCAGATGCACGAGCAAAAATAACCGCCATAGCAGAAGATCAAGAAGAAGATATGTGAACACTATATAATATTTACACATTAACACTAGATTCATTTTCAAGTTTTGTTTTCCACGAACACGATAGTTTAGAAGCGCAGTTTCCTTAGGGAACATACAATTTAGTTCCTAACTTGCATGGGGGAGTGTGTCGGAGACTGTCTATATATATCTTAATATTTGTGATTTAATAGCAGGATTAATTATTACTTTAATTAGGGACGAACATTGCATGATTGACACATTTATATTATTATGAAGAGGAGTTAAAAGATAGGAATGTAGTGACTGTGTGACTGTGAGAGAGACTAGACCGCGTATACAACTGTGAGTGATTTTCAATAATATAATTTTATAAAACCGAATTTGCTTCGTCGAGAGTTTGATTGTTCAATACCTTTTAGTAAGGGTCAATTTACTAAAAGTATACACATCGGCGTATACACATATCTATTTCAGTCAAACTAAACTTTGCGTAATTAGCCTAATAGCGAAGCATACCTTATAATAATACTCTGCGTTGACGTTAGGCTAAGGCAAGTCTAGTAAGCAAGTTAATTAAGCAAGTTACGTATGTGTAATAGTACGTATTTAATTCTGTCGCTAAATATTTGCGAACAAATTAATATAGAGTCAAAAAATTTACCCTAGACATTTTTGTTCGACCCTCGACCTATTACCCTCGACCGACCCTCGACCAATAGTCAAACTCGTTATAACAGCAAACACATTCCCGCAATTGCTTCCCATTATCAAGTAACCCGCTGACTCTTTGATATTAGACACGTTATTTAGTCAACAGTCAAGTCTTTCATTTGTGCTCTGTCGCGCTGAAAAATGGTTTCAAATACACTTGGCAGCGTTCTTCTGTTATTTGCTTTGGACCTCAGCGCTTTTGCATTCAACTCGGTGCAAGGCAGTCATGAACATCATGGCAAATTTTATGTTTACTCGAATAGGAAAGGTTGTATGGCAGTTCAAAGTCAGCCACTTTGTCCATCGAGTCAATTAAACCCTTGGGACGCCACGAATTATATTGAATATATCAGAGAAATGCGAGGCATATTGGATGAAATTGAAGCCAGGAACGTAAACAATTCGGAGTGCATTACAGCTTTTAAAGCAGCTTATTGTTCGAAATTAACCCCGAAGTGTTTTGGGGACGGCAGTAAAGATTTCGGTAATGGAAATGCGGCATGTTGGAAGGCGAATACAACGTGCGACAACGTAGTTGTACTTGATTTTGAAGAATTTTGTCAGTCGATTCCTGAAGGTAAACAGTCCCTCGACGAATGTATTTTACCATCTAGTCGTATTGAAGGAAGTTGTCCACAGCTTGAGTATAAGGTAAGAATCACTCAAAATTCAAAAACACACAAGTTGCTACAGTTTAGTCTATCATTCATTCTCGGTTACGAATCTCAGCGGTGAATTAGAATAATTGTGACTCGATTAGCCATTATGCCTTTTCAATACAGTATACTTCGCTTTCTAGCCGAGCAGCTACGGAAAACAACAAAGGGTTTTTTCTGTGTTGGTGTAATGTACTCAGGTGAGTGTATATCCACAGTGGGCAGGCATATTTTGCAAGCTTGCCCGGTGTGGATATACACAAAGGAGTTGTGGTATTTCACCCGATTAGCACGTTTGCCGCCGGCTGACAGCCGGAAATTTTGTCACTCTGATTGCTCGGCTGCCAGCCGGTTCAAAAAATGCGCGCATTTCGGAGACTGGTTCTAGAATGTTTCATAAGCAGAAAACCGCCAAAATTACATTACATTTTCCGAAAATCATCGAAATGCATCTAAATTCATCTTCCCAATGCATATAGCTAGCTATATGCATTGATAGTTATGCGCATATGAACATATCTACATGGTAATATGCGCAATATAAGTTTAATTATGTTATGTTATGCGACAGGTAAATAAACGAGAAAAAAACAATTTCGGTAAAGAGAAAAATTCAAATTCGTTTGCGCTCACTCCGGGACAACCTCGTTCCCAGGATCTCTCCTTCTGTCATCTGGGAGAGGCCCTGGCTGCGGCTGGTCACGTGCCTCCCAGATTCTGGGAGGTAAATTTAATTGTAACTGTGAGAGGGGTGGGAAAGGAGCGTGTTTGTAGCGTTTTAAAATTGCAACTTTGGGTGATGAAATTTACTGTAAATTTGCAACAAGAAATCGTAAATAGAACTCTTAAATTAACATTTATATCGTGACGTTCTACTCTATAATCAGGTGTCGAGTTACAATTCAAGCAAATTGGATCATATTTCAATATTCAACTTACAGACTTGCCAAAAGAAAGCACGCTTGCCGCTTAAACCTACAAGAAAATACAGTGCCTTTTTTAACTATATATCTGGGGGGGGGGCAATTGCCCAATTCCCCCCCCCAGGGAAAGAATTCCCCCCCCAGTAAAGCCGTTTCTGCCCCCGAATTGCGAAGCAGAATTGCTCATGATTGCTGTCAGAATTGCAGTTGATTTACTTGATAATGAGATTATGCCCTTCCATAGCCTCCTCCACAGCCATATTGTGTGTAGTTCATCTTGTTCTTCACCGAGTATTTCATAATAGCGATAGATTTCATGCAAACAATCCGATAAATTGCTAGCCTTTCCAAGCCTTGCGACTATTTCCTAGCACTCTCCTCTGCGGAGGCGTTGTGTTTTGTTTTGGGAGGTTTTATTGCAAAAAAATTTTTCTTAAAAATATCAAGTTATATTAAGAGCCCCCTACCAATCGCCACAAAAACCATTCTCTCAGAAAGGCTAAATCCGTAGAGAATTTTTTTGGGGAAGGGGTACAGGTTACATGCTCGAAGCTGAAACTGATTAAGTACGTTTCGACTGAGGAAAAAGACGATATACTGGAGGAACTTGATTTGTGAAATCTCGTTAAAGCAGTTGTAGATATGGTTCCAAGAAGAATAGATTTAGTTTAGATTTTTAACTGTTAAATCCATGTATGCATCATCATAGCATGAATATTTCTTCTCAGACTTATTCTGTATCGTATGAAAAAGCAACGCAATTTTGAGAATGCGGAAATGGTGTCTCATAGAACCTAAAATGATTTAAATGCAACATTTCTGATCAAAATCACATTGGGATTTTCTCCCCCCCCCCCAGCATCACAGAGAGGAAATAAGGTGACACTGACCCCTCCTCCTATTTTTCAAGGTGCATGTCTTCGTTATACTTTATAATCTTCGGAATTCTGCTAGATTTCACCCCCAAAATGCATGAAATCGCAATTCAGGGAACCTAGATTTCAAAATTTTTCGAACCTCGGACCCTCCTAGACGGTCTCACGCCTTCGGCGTGAGGTTCGCCCCCCACCCCACCCGCAAAATTAAGGTTTCGCTACGCCACTGGTTATAGCTGTACGATTATAGCTACAAAGGGTTGAAGTTATTGTTTGTTTAAAGTAAAATATAGCTGAAGTTAATAAATTAAAGTTTTACAAATCTCAGCCTAGTCCCTGACCTTCCAAGCGCGGGCGAGTTACAGGCTGTCGTGAACTTGCGGGCTGTCAGTTTCGCAAAAAATCCGAACTGGGTCGCGCTGGAAGGCCTAGCAAAGTTCGCATAATCAACATGGCGGTGTATAATTGTTCGTGAATTGGAGTAATCTTTACTATTGTATTAAAATGTAACGAAATGCTTTTAAAACATGTATTATATTTAAATTTTGTATTTTGTCTCGTCGATAAACCTTTCAGGACACCACTGGCACTGATAATTTGTTCGCTTGTCCACACAAAGACTGTGTTGACCGAAATGATTTGTTCAAAAATATTAAACAGCATTTCTCGACACAGCATTTAAAACCACACACTGGAAGTAATGGTAAGGTTAATGGAACAGAACATTTCACTTGTTAATGAAAGGACCGTGCGATGAATTTATTTTTAGAAAATACACTGCAGTATCAATACAAATATATTTGTCTTATTATTAATACCCAAAGGTTTGACATATTCCCGGGTTTAAGTTTTATTAGTGAAATACATGGTGCCAGATTATCAGTATTAAGCTACCTAAAAATTCAAGTTGAGCATGATACTCATATGCCAATTAAATTTCATTTTATATACCCAATATATTTTGTTGACAAGTAAAATTCTCGAGCAATAAACAAAGTAAAATACCAGGATGAGAAAATGTGTTGAGAAAATGAGAAAAGGTGTTTTGCCCAGAATCAACTTACTTTATAATTTACTCTGTCTAATATGCCAGATAATTTTACTCATCAGTGGTAGGGTACTGCCTAAAACTTATGTAAGAATAAAAAAAAATCTTATCAAAATGAATTGCAGTGGTTTTCTGTTAATGAGGGTAGTGATAGGGGGCTTGATGACTTTATTAATTTGTGTTAGAGGTTTGACTAGAGAGAGTACCTTTTTTTGTTTTTCAATATGACTTTGTGGTGTTCTGTCACTTTTTATCAACATTAATTTTTCCTGTCATACGCTGATAAAATTAAGGCTTGCCTTTAAATTACAGATATTCATGCATTTTAGTATAAGTATTACTATATGCACACATACTTATCATGAATTTCTTTGTTTACCGGCACAATAGCCATTCAATTGTCATTCAAGCCAATGAAGGTCAATTTCAATGACCTTCCTTGACCCACGGATCCTGACCTCAATGTTTTAAGATACTACTTCATTTCAAATCCATGATTTTGGATTCTCATTTACTCTATTGCTAGTAAACTGAAAACAAATTTATTCCATATGTGATATGGGGCCATTCCCAAAATACATAATGCTTGTGGGGATAGAGAGGTGTTTGACCAGGAGTCGCAGAGTGTCACAAGGGGGGGCGGGGGTATCACATGAGGGGAAAATTTATCCCTGTCTATAAAAAAACAAGACCTTGCTTGCAAATATGTTGTCCTTAGAAGACAAATCAATGTTTTCTATTAAAATATATTGCCTGAGTGGGAAAGAACCTGAATGGAAAAGCCGAGATTAAGGCATTGAAATAGTGTCTTGTACATACAGTACATTATTTTTTTGCATAACTTTATTAGGGTAAATAAACGTCTTGTTTACAAATCAACTGCACTAATCATCGGCGTCCCCAGGGGTTGATCACCAGCAGGGGGGATTTGTTACTTTATGTTAAAAAAATAATATCCCTCCATGTAGGGAAATTGTTCGCATTTGGCCAGGGAGCATTTGTAATTTACCTAAGGGGGGGGGGCAATGGTGATTTTGAGAGGGGTCACAATTTTAGGGGACTATCAAAAATTACCTGAATATTAGAGGGAACCTTCAACAAAGACTTTCCCTTAGTTTTCATTTTTGTTGCCATGCAAAGTTGCAAACCTTTCATATTCTAAGGATTTATAACTGAAGTTGTTATTAATAGATATGGAAGTTCAATGGTCAAGAATGCATGTCAAAATTTATTATTCATATTGATAAGAAACCAATACTAATTAAAGGTCAATAGATTTTTTGAAAGGGAAGACAGGGAGTCGACAATTCACTATCTGTTGTTTACAATTATATGGGGGGGGACAACGAATGTGATCAACAAAAGTGTAGGGGGGGGGGCTCCAGAAAATTTAAATTTAAAAACTGTCATGCCCCTAACAAGCACAGTTTACCCCCAGGATAAACCAAAATCACCTTTCTGCTATACAGTACGATTTTCTATGGAGTTAACTAATTGTATTGTATAATATAATGTTTCTGTTAGATATGTTATGTGTGCATATTAATATTGCCCTGGCAATGGGATAGGTACTGTAATATGATTTTTGTCATTAAACTTTACCTGTACGCACGGGCTTTGTCAATATTTTGTTCTGTCAACCTCATGGGAAGCAGAGGAAAGTGAATAAGTTATAAGTGCAAAGGGGCATAATATAGATATTTACACTTTCCATTAATGGCATCTTTCCATATATATATATATATATATATATATATATATATATATATATATATATATATATATATATATATATATATATATATATATATATATATATATATATAATAAACATTTAACAATTTGAATACTAACTAGTGACTACAGTTCATACAATGAGACAGTCAACTTCTGTGAAAATTATTAACAACCACGCGATATTGACCAAGTTACAAGTCCACATAATTTGTTTCTTTCGATTGATTTTACACTAGCGACACTGGTCGAATAGCAGCTTATCCAATCACAGTCCAATTTAATAAATATATACGCGAAATATCATATTATACATACATTTTGCATAGGAATTCCTTTAAAAAATTCGACAATATATAATATATTTGAGGTAAAAATACCAAGCCCAAAATCGCGAGCAAATATACACCAAACT